CTGTTATTTATTTTCACTTCTCAGAGAGTGTAATTTTGGGAGGAGATTGTTTTAAGTTTGTCAGAGTATTGCAATGAGATAAATTTTGTCAGTACTCACAATGAATGTCTGCTGAACAGCCACTGATACAAGCTTCACTTCTCTCAATATGCCAGCGAATAATTTTTGTCAGTTTTATTTGCTTAATGATATATAGGTGCACATAACTAACATTACAGTGTCTGTATTAATGGGCTGGCAGTTAACATCACAGTGCTTGGCATTACACCTTTGCTACATATTTGTTTCTGGGCAGCTATGCTGCGCTTACAGGTCTTTTTACATCTCCGATTAACCTGACTGACTGTCTTGCCCAGGCCATGCAGCTGTCCCCAAGTAGGGAAAGAGCTTCTGGAATTACACAAGGACGAATATTTTGGAGAGAAAGCGATTAAAGAACAAACAGAACAAAAATCAAGCATCTTCTAACTTCTTTTTTCTCTCCACCCTTCATTTTTTCTTGGAGTAAAGAACAAATTTTACATCCATTATTTAGCTTATTGAAATTTATTTACAATCACGTCCTCCAAATTAATTTTGTATTGCTGTGTAATGTGCAAGAAATGTGTTAACCTCAAAGAGTTATGCCACAATGGAAGGTGAATAAACCAAAGATAATTAGAAGAAATGAATGAAAGAAGAGGAAAACCAGTACCTATTCAGGTCAAAATTACATTTTCTCCCTATGGAATTAGCCCATTTTTAATGTAAAAAAATCTTTTACCTCCAAATGAGTTATCTTCAGGCTTTTTAGGATTTAAGTATTTAGTTTTGTTAAATAATTTTTTTTCTTTTTGGATAGGATTATTTAATAATTTATGTTACTTTATAAGTTGGACTAAATAAGCAACAAATTGTATCATCTTATCAGCTTCTAGCTCTGTAGTATTTAGCCTGTAATATAGTAGCTATATTACATAATATGCCAATTTTGTGATGTAGTTTTCAGTAGTAACCTTGATGGTTAATTCCACAGTCACCATTTGATAGCTGGTGGGATCATCTGCCATCAGCTTGTGCTGAACCAGTTGTGACTGGCACTTTTAAAACCTCTTGCTATCTTCATGGATACTGGTGTACACTTTTTCCTTCTTAGACTGTAAAGGGAGGGAAAACTACAGTTTCCCTTGACCTTGTGCAGGTTTGACAGGAAGGAAATCTGGTTATGCTGAAAAGTCCTGAAATCTTTTCAAAGACTCTTCAGCTTATATTTGTTTCCTGAAGAAGTTTGGGCAGTCAGAATCTTCCAAAAGCAGACTGTGAGTCCCTTTTTGGTTTGGCTTTTTTAAGATAATAATTTAGAAATAGTGTGTACTCACTTCAGTTTTCCTTCTTTGCTTTCCTTCCCTTCCCTTCCCAGGCCCCTTTTATCTTTACCTTCAGATACTCTGCTCTGGAGCCTTGAACTATTGAAACCTGAGCTATTCAAAACATATTTATGTTTTGAATAAACATAAAATGCTGAAGATCTTGCTGAAGTATTGGTACATTTGGCTGTGCATGACTTCTTTCTGTCAACAAAAGAGACAACCCAATGAAAGGTGCATGTGAACAAGCAAATATTTTTCTGGTTCTCCAACTGTGGCTTAATACACTTTATATAAGTTAATGGAAACAGGAGATAAAAATGATGAGTTAAATATTGACATTACAGTATGAAAGCTAATTTTTTAAAATTAATACCTAAATTTTCTGAACTGCAGAAACATAACTTGCTGCTGGGTTTTGCATTGGAGAAGAGCTATGCTTTCAAAGCAAAATGAGATAAAATACTCGTGGATCCTACTTTCCTGTGTTACAGGTCTAATATGTTTTTGTCTCATTAGCTGTTTGTACTTAAGAAAAGTTTTATATCACTGGGCATAGACTTTACACAGTATTAGAGGATGAGTTCAAATATCATCTCCCTTTGTTGAAGGGAGAATCCAGAGCAAAGATATTTTCAGTTACCCTTAAGTGAGAGTAAAGGTAGGTAACTGCAATTCATTGATATTTAGTGTCCAAATAGTGTTAGAAAAAAATTACCAGAAAACATTGTTCTTCTGTGATTTAGCCCTTGCATTGCTCTGAAAGGAAAGATGCATAAAGTTTGGTTATAAAAAATCTGCTGTTAAAAATTTAGTTTGGATGAGTTGCCTCTGGAAGGCCAAGTTCTTTTTATTATGGGGAACCCAAACTGAATTTGCAGTAGTGGTAAGATTGTGCAAGTAACACCTAGTTCTTCTATAATGCTTTTTATCTTCTGCTCTTACACATGCTTTACAATAGAGTTAGAAGACGTGGTGTTTCTTGGTGGGGGAAAAACAAGACAAGAAGCTTGGTTTCAACATATGGAAAGGAGCAGAACTGTGGGATGGCTGTAATGACACAAGAAGGGGAGTCGAAATTACTGATTTTCTTGAGGGAAGACTAGCATCTGTATCTTTTAATTAGGTTATTTCTTAGGAAATACAGAGTGGGTGGAAATGAAGGAGAGGGAAATGGAAGGAGTTAAGTCTTAATATATAATATATGTATTTTGAGTGTTTCACACTACAGTCTTAAAAGTGGGTTTTTTCTTGTCTCTGAATATAAGTACACCATAAAGGAAGTGTTGACCCTCAACGATTTAAAGGTAGAATATCCTTGAAGGTTGTGTCATATTGAGAAAGGTGTTTGAATAATGACTGACTTTATTCCTTTTGTAGTTATTTTAGATTTTCATCTCTCCCTGTCCAGCATTTCTTATGCAGTTAGAGTATTTTTAAGAGGAGAAGCCTTTGTTTTGTCTAATCTTGAAAGTGATGGTAAGTGGGATTTAGGTGACAGAGGGTTATTGGTCAAGATACACACAAATCCTTTTGCCAAACTTGTTAATTTTATATGCAGTGAATACTACTACTAGTAATGCAGTGAATGTATGCATTATATATGCAATAATTATATGCAGTGAATAATAATAATAATAGTTAATTTTATATGCAGTGAATAAGGACAGAAATTGCATAGAGATTTTATGCAAAGCTACTGCACGTATAGTTACCTGTATTTTATAATTCGCTTGTAAAGTTGTAGTTCTTGCACAGTTCAAACAATTCTGTTTCATGCTTACCTCATGCTGCTCTTAACTGATGTTTCAGAGACTCTCTGCTTTCTCAGTAAACATTTTTGTTGGTTTGTTTCTCTGTAGGATTAGTAAAGGCTTTCATCATAATACACATGATGCTAATATAAAATGTCAACTCTTGAATGCAGATGTCTGTTAGGAAGACGTGAATGAGTATGGAACTAATGGCACTGGTCCTTCAGAGGATCACGTTTGCATATGGGATAAGTGCAGAAGTTTGTCTTCAAGCCATTGTGTTCTGAAAGTTTTTGTGTCTTTTCCTTTATAAGAACTTTCTTTCGTCTGTAATCAAGAAGCACCAGAAATTTGTAAAGTCCAGGCGACATTTCTCATATCCTCATCATGCTGTGATGAAAAAGAAATTAATAGCAGCCATGATTTTTAAAACTTCAGTTAGTTGTAATGCTGAAAAGGTCTGGCAGTGGCTCACCAAACCTCAGTGTTTCTGATAAGTAATCTAACTGCATAGTGTTGTAAACTACTTTTTTGCCTTTATATCTATAAATCTGTTTTCTTATCTTTTCCCTTTAAAAAAAATCTTATTGGTGCATCAATGCTACACTGAAATAAGTAGTTGATTACACGGATTATGAGGTATAATGCTGTATGTAATATAGATACATCTTTGATGAATGTTATGCATGCAGTTCTTAATTTAAATGACCTCTCTTTAGCAGTAACTGTATAGATCCAATAACTGTGCATATGTGTGCACTTAAGATACAACTTCTGGAATATCCTCAATAGCCTTTTTCTTGATCTCTCCTACTTTATTTACACTCTTCTGTATAAAACTGACTTTGGGGAATTTTTCTCCTCTTTTTCAAATGGAGACTTATGCAGGATTTGAACAGTCTTTAAAATTCATCTGTATTTATTCAAACTTCTAAGATTTAATTTTGAAGTACCTTAGATCTCTTTAAAGTAGTAGTTTAAGCCCTGGAGGAATTTTCCTAGTCGCTTTGAGATTGATAAGTTTAGCACTGTACTTTCATGGTTTGGAGCATCTTTTCTAGGAGGAAAGTCTGAGAACTGAGACTCTTCAGCCTGGAGAATAGAAAGCCCAGGGAGATCTTTTCAATGTGTACAAATACTTGATGGGAGGAAATTAAATGAGAGAGACAGGTTCTCCATGGTGGTGTCCAGTGGCAGGACCAGAGGAAATAAGCACACACTGTAACACAAGTGGTTCCCTTTGAACATCAGGAAACACTTCTTTACTGTGAGGATGACTGAGCGCTGGCACAGGTTCCCCAGAGAGTTCATAAGTGTTCATCTTTGGAGATATTCAGAAGCTGCCTGGATACAGTCCTGGGCAACTGACTCTTAGGTGACCCTGCTTAAACAGGGTGATTAGACCAGATAATGTCCAGAAGTCCCTTCAAACCTCAGCCATTCTGTGATTTTGTTTGTGTGCGTCAGGGTCTAACTCTGTGCCTGCTCTGTCATTAACATCTCCCTTGCCTATCCTCACTCCAAAGTTGTGAAATCTTTAAGAGTTTGGCCCAAAGACTGTGACCAAAAGAAAGTTGGGTTTTTTTCCCTCCTAATGTATCCTTCCTAGATACATTTTATTAGTTATACCTGTCAAAGTTTTGGGAATTTTGGAAGTGGAAAAGAAAATTTTGTAGTTCGTCTTTGTGTGTATATCAAATACATATGTGTGTTTCTGAATAACGTCTTTATCTATATCTAATATAGATACTTTATAGGAGTCCAATATAAAATCCTTAATCATGTTTTGATTACTATAACAGTAGTCCTTTAATCTTTAGGTTGTTTTGTGACTTATTTTATTCACTTTTTTCCTTTTTCTTTTTTTTTAATGTGTGTGTATGTGTGCTTTGCCTTGCAGAGTTGGAAGAATCCAGGGATTTCAAGTTTTGAGTAATGGGCATCTTACAAGATTACCACAGCTAAACTGAAAAGACAGATGCAGCTCTGAGTACCAGATTGGTGTATGCACTGCATATACATGAAAACGCACATGTTTTTGTCATCACATAGACTTGCTCTGGCATATTCCTGAGAGCTTTGCAATTGATGAAAATTAATTTGAGAACCAGATGGAGCACCTTTACAGCGCAGGAATCAGTAATCCATGGAAAGACACCTGCCAGTAATGTTCAACTTTCCACACGGTCTTCACGGGTGAAAAAAGTTTGCAAGAAGAGGAAGAAAAAACACCCTCTGCACAGAAAAAGTGTAATAAATACCTCCACAATCTAAATCAATAGCTGTGAGGGAAACGGAAGAATACAGTGGGCAGAGGAAACCGATTTTGTTCTAGCAGAGGAGTAATGTATGGTCTTTGGCACGTTTTGCTTTGGGCTCAATAGTTTGTGAATGGACTAATAAACCGTGACCTTATGTTGAGTGATGATGACTAGAAGTAAATAAGTTGAGGAACTATGGGACAAGTCTGGGCATTGAACTGAGCAAACCTTGCTGCCCTTCTTGAGTTAACCAGGTCATCAAACTTGCATATTCTTTTTCCCTCTCCTTTTTCCTTTTCACTTAGTGTGATATAAATACTAATTAATTGAGCTCATAAATGTTATTCAAATAAAACGATTGGAATACTTCATATGTTTCCTTCTTGTACAGCTGCAAATGTTGTGTCTGGAACTATGAATCTGTGCTGTAGACAAGCATCAAGAAGGAAAGATCCAATCAAACAAGCAAGGAAAATACCTAGAGAAATAGTGAACCCAGGAAGTCAGAGTTTTAATGCTGCTTCTCTTTCTTTTTTAGACGGTTATATTTGTTCCTTCCTTGAATTTTAGAAGATTTTGAAAGAGTGCTTACTTGATGTGCTTTAATTCTGGCATTTGTTTTTTATGGTAGAATGAGAAGTCTTTGATTCCTTGTAGCAGAAAAAAAGGGAAAAGTAAAGGAAAGCCAGCTTGACGTTTTAGCCTGTTTCAGAGGAGAGAGAACTTCATGGTTCACCTGAGGCAAACTTATCTACTTTGAACGCTAAAAGCTTTAGAGCATTTTTGATTCTGCTATAAATGAAGAGGGGGTTCTTTTTCATTCGTGTGTGGCAGCAAAAAGTGGGAAAGCAGGCAAGATAGTGTGATAAACAGTTCAGGCTGTGTTGGGTCTCTGGTGGAAAAAAAGTGCTGCAATGAAAATTGGATTGGCTTTGGATTGCAAAAACTTTTGAGTCCAACAAGCGGTTCAGAATCAAGAGGGATTTCCCAACTGGCCTGGCACACCAGTGCCTGCACAAGTTCGGGTCTGTTGTTTCACACGGTTTGTGTGCCTTTTTTTCCCTTTATGCAATCTCTTTCAGCTTTAGCAGCAGAAATACATCAGATGGAAAAGATATGCCAGAGGGCAGCTTGGAAAAGAGGAATGTCATATATATACATATATATGTATGTGCGTGTGTTTCAATTTCTGCAACTGAACTTTTGAAGAAAATCTGACTGGAGGAAATTCTAAAAGCCTTAAGTTACTTGAAACCTACACATTTGCAACTCTTTGTCTCTGGAATTGCATTACGCTAAACTGGAATCTCAGGCTGTATAAAGATTATATCAAGTTGAGCAAAAAGATGACTTAACCATTTCTTGAGAGCCTCTTATGAAGTAGCTGTTTCTCCAAAGGATAAGTGCACCCTCACTCTACAGACTGGAAAACAAAAATGAACCTGAATTTTTTTTTAAGTGTTACTTTTTCTTAGCCAACTGCCATCATCTTTTATAGAGGAATTTTTCACTATGCATTTGGTGGATATTTATAAACACTGACCCCATCCTCCTCCCTTTCAATGATCTATCCCAGGTCAGTCTTATCAATAAAAAAAAAAATTGATTTAAATTTTGTGCACTAAACATATTACTTTCGTATGTCAAAAAATAAAATATTTAAAAAGCATGTATGCAGCAGTGGAACATGGGCCTGTTCTTTGCAGCGATTCCAACATCCTCTGCCTCTCCTGGAAAGGGAGAGTCCCCAAAAGTGAGAAGGAGAAACCAGTGTGCCGGAGGCGGTACTATGAGGAAGGCTGGTTGGCAACAGGCAATGGCAGAGGAGTTGTAGGCGTCACTTTTACTTCCAGCCATTGCAGGAGGGACCGGAACACCCCTCAGAGAATCAACTTCAATTTGAGGGGCCACAACAGTGAGGTAAGCAAAATGTGTGTTACACTTTAAAGGAAATGATAGATATCTTTTTTTTTTTTTTTTAGTATTTCTGGTTGAAATTTGACAGGGTGGTATGATGGAGGCTTAAGACTAATCCAAATGTGATTGGGGTTTATTGGAGTCTTTCTAGTAAATTCAAGCATATGACACTGATTGTGGAGAAGTTCTCTGGAAATGATTCTGGTTTTGGTTTGGCCTATTCATTCCCCAGTGCCTCTCAGTTTCCAGGCGGATTCAATAAATGCATGTTAAGAGAGTTAAAAATTGCGATAGTTGACTGCTTTTACACAGTACTAAAGTTTGGCCTGGAAGACTAATGGAAAGGCAAGTGAGTAGGAGAAGAGCTCGATTGAAGTCTGCTGGTTTTTCAGAAGCTGTAAATTGCAATGGCCTGTGGCAGGAGATAGCTGTCATCTCTAGGAAAACGTTTAATTTTGTTAGAAAAAGGGCCAAGTGAGACTTCTCAGAAAAATGCTGAGATGCCCTACAGTAAAATGCTGTAACTTCAGAGAGCAAGGCATTGCTCTGACTACAATGTCACAAAAACTTTTCCATTTGTGTTTTCTGAAAGGAATAAATCTGTTGGTATAAACTGATATTTCAGCTGTGCTTTATCATCATCTTGGCACTCATGTCTTTTTCTGTATAATGCTTCATGGAAAGTGCAAGTGATGCCCAGTGGTATACTGAGTGTCTTGGGCAAGTGTGAGGACTTTGTTTCTGCTTTTCAGTTATGTTTGGATGTGCTCTTTGGAAAGAATCTGAATTTGAAAAGCTTTGCTGTTGGGTTAGTGGGTAGAATGACATTGTATGTACTGAAATGAAAACAAAAGATACAATGTGTTTTTTTTCCTTGTCCACCTTCTTGGGTGGGCTCTTTAATATATGTTGCCCTTTTGACAAGCTGCTCCAAAGATTCAGAAGTGGGTTCTTGTGTAATATTAATAACAATCCTCTTTTTAATGAAAAAAGGGAGCAGAAGATAAATACTTAGTCTGAAATAATTGCTTTGTGTGTATGGAGGTGTGTGAGTGTATGGTAAATTATGTAGACTTGTATGTATAGATGAGAGACAGATTCACATATATATTTGTATCAGGTTCATTCAAAAATTTACAGCCATGTTGTCAGGAAGAATGATGTTTGAATCCAGCATTTTGATTTGAACCATACCTAGTTGTCAGTATAACTATCAATTACAAATTTCATTTTATTTTTTAAATGTGTGATAGAGTAATCACTTTTTGTTTCTCCATATTTTGTTCTCTAACTTTTCTGTGAACCTGGGCATAATAGATGTTTTGGAAACAATGAAGGAAGTGCTGTTTATGGGAATGTGAAGTCTTATTGCAGAATGTGAAAATATGAGGCTAAGTTTAAGTATGTTCCCAGTTAAGTAGGCAGTTAAGCATGTTCGTATGCATGCTGCCCTTTGGTTTTGGTGAGTTTTGCTTCATTTACTCAGTTGGCCATTAGATTCTCTTTCTGGGTCACTGCATCATTGCTGTGCAGATTGAGCTGTGCTGTTTGTGCATCTTTTCACCTAACAGTGATTGGCATGAGAGAGACTCTCAAATGAAAGGAAGATGTTCTGTTTGAATCTTTTTGTTGTTGTTTGGGTCCTTAAAATATGCTGGGTCAAGCTTGTCATTAATAGAGTTGTGTTTCTGTAAGTAGTCTTAGTAATAGCAGAAAATATGTGAATGACCAGAGGGGAGACTGCCAATTTATTTCTCTCTACGGCCCTACTAAACTGATAATGGTGGGATCTTACTGAAGGAAGACAGAAGTGGCTCTGGTGCAAGTAGCTTTCCATGATGAGTCTGTGGCTGCTATCACATTTTCCTGCTGGCATGTTTTTTTGAGCATCATTTTAAGTGAAAGTTCATTCTTACAAGATGATGTGTTATACAACACTCTTCACCAGGCTTACCGAATTTAATCCTTTTACAGGAGAATCCTACTGATTTGAGTAGGAATGAAACTGTAATACAAGATTTGTTACTTGTTAAAGGTGTATAGTTGAATGGACAGCAAGATTATTTTCATTTGAAAACACCTTTCCTTCTAAATCCATCTGCTGAAAGATTCTTGAAAGAAAATATTGAACAGCAGCATTTATTGCTCATATTTGCATAAGAAGTAGTAAATGTTTTGTTTTCTCATTCTAGTGTTGAAAAGCAAGCCAGCAACAACCTTGTCTCTTCTGTGTACCACACTACATAATGGAAAATGCTAATTTTGAAAGCATATCCTGGTATATGTGTCTGATTAAAGCCATGTGTGTTGTACAGAATGTGCCCAAAGGAATGTGATTGACCTAAAACTTTAAAAGCCTGTTTCATTCACTGACCATTTCTAGAAGAATATTATATTGTGTGGTTTCTAGAAGTGGTGATTTATACCTATATATATTTTTTTCTGGGATAAAGCTAGGGTGGCAAGTCAAGTTTATTGCTTTTCAGTCATACAATGCTACTTCAATATCAGTATGCATTTGATTATAAAGTATAAAATGCTGAAATGAACAGAGCGGAAGAGTGAAAATACAGAATCTAAATGCTTTCTATTTGGAGTGTAACTAACAGCAAGCTGTGGGCAGAGCTTGTGTTTCATTTATTGTACATATATTGTATTTCAGGTTTAGGGTGAAAATCTGGAAGAGGTAATGTGACAGCACTGTGCTTTTGGCAAGAATGTGGAACTGTTTTTAAGTAGGTCAAGAAGGTGAATGCTAGTGATGTATTTTTGCAATGTTTTTATGATTGCTGAAGAGATTCACTGAAACCTTCTTTTGGGACACTTTTTTGACTGTAATAACATGTCTGTAGCATATCAGAATAAACAAGAATGAAGAATCCCCAGGACTGAATTACTGACACGCATATTATAGTGGTGGATTTGAATGACTCATCATGTTGAACAATAATTGAGAATTAAAAGCGCTGTAGTGTGAGCCACACTTATGTTTTTACAATTGCTTCAAGGTTGGCTTTTAGCATTTGCAACAACCTCATTTCTTTTTTTGTAGTTACTAAGAAGAATTACAGGAGTTTAAAGAAGCATATTCCCTTTATTCTGTGGCAAGAGGTGAAAAAACTGCACTTTTTGATAGATCTTTCTTTTAACTTTGGTGCTGTGTTTACAATCCTGGATCTTATTTACATAAGGGTCAGCATTCTGAAAAAATGAAAACTTAAATGTGCACATATCAAAGGCAGAAGAAACTTCAATGCAGAAGGAAGGGGACGTGTGTGTTATGCAGCAATTGTGCAGCTACTGTGTGTTTTACATGTAGGAGGTGAAATACTTTGCATCTCTGACCATGGGATAAGAAGCATCTCTATGTGAGGGTAGGTAGTGGATGGAGCAGATGTGAATGACTGCAGAGGCACATTGTTCAGTCTGACTTTGAGCTTTTCATTTATTCCAGAAGAACAAACTGATAGAAGCTGGCATTTGGTGGGGTTTTGTCTGGCAGAGAGGTTACAGGGCAGGAAGATGTGCCATTGTATCACAATGTGCGAATTAGCAGTCAAGGAGCAGAGGCCTGGTGATCTAAAATACCTTCCCTTCCTCGGCATGGTAAATGCAGTTCTTTGTCGAAATTAAAGAGTGAAATTTTGAATTCTTTGATTTTGACCTAACTTGACTTTCCTTGGCTGCACTGGGAAACTGTTGAAAAGGAATAGAGCACATTCCTTTTATGACTTATTATTTGTGTAATAAATTAGATATTAAATGAAAAATATGTGGTCACTTCAGCAGGACCAGTATTTTACCTAGAATGACTAGTAGTGCCAGGCTGAATAATTTTTGTAGTACAGCAGAGATACCAGCTTTCAGCATCTGATCGATCTTGAGTTTTCTGGAGAGAGATTTTCAAAGGGATCTGTAAAGGATAATTAGAGGAAAGCCCAAACTTATCTTTATGGGGCTTCAAGGACCCTTATAGGGATCTTCCCTTCCAGTGAAATATTTGTAAAATGTCTGCAAATCAAATTGGTTGGATGGTGCTGTTGTAGGTATTTTTAATGGTTTCTGTTGTGTCTAGTGTATTAAGATGGTAACAGTTTCTATGGCACTTAATGTTTCTTAAATTATTAGTGTTTAAAAAATTGTTTTGCACATATACATTTTCTTTTGACTGTGCTAGCTGAAAAGACATCTTTGATATATTTAATAAGATTCAGTATGCTAATTGCTGGACTGAAGCATTAAAAAGTGTTGCAAGAATATGCAAATTCAGATGCAGTGACCTAAGTAACATGCTGAATATATTATTGAGTATATATAACATTTTTTACTGTAAACATAAACTGCTCATTTATTTACATTTGTCATTATTTGAGTGTTCCAAGCACATGTCTACTCCTGCAAAAAACCCACCCTGTTTCATTTAGCACAGGATTTAGAAGTAGATAGGGATGTAAACATATCTCAGCTGGACTGTCAAATGAATTAGTTACACCTTTTCAAAGGAATGCTGTCCTTTAAAAATATTCAATGCATGTTGCTGTTTGTACTGCATTAGTTATGGAAATCTGCACAGTTCTTGGTTTGGTTTGGTTTGGTTTTAGAGTGGAAGGAGCTTACAAATTGTTTTTCATGTTTTAAATAGTCAGCTTTTCTTTATGCTGTCCCATCTCTTTGAGCTTGTATGTATCTGGCAGAGCAGACTCTTTCCAGAAGTCTATTGCTTGTGTGGGAAATAAATTTTAAAAAACCAAAAAAAAATAACCTTTTCAGTAGTGTTTCTTGCTTTGTCGGTCACTGGTAATAATACAGAAAAACAGTACTGGAAAACTTTTTTTGTTTGTTTAAACTTTGTTTTAATGTAACTTGTATTTGAAACTTAAATGTGATTTTTATTATGATTCCTGGACAGAAAAATCAAGTCAGCATGTGAGTTTTGACAGCATGGGTCTATTGTATCAACTGTTGCCTTCAGACACACCTGTAACAGTTGATACTGGTGAACA